CATTTTCACTTTTGTCGTTCTGTGCGTTGTTTAGGGATAACGGTTTTCTCTATTTTATAAGCTACAGTATTCAAAACTTATGAGGTATTTGACATGTAACATTGCCTTGTGGACCCATACAAATGTGATATAAATCATGCCTTGGGTCGATATTGGTGTGGCCCGGGGTCACTTACTGGTTAAAGAGATAATTGGGTAAACATATTTATTTTAAATATATTTATTTATAATTTATATTTAATCTTAAATACCCATTATCGCCACATGTTTTTGTATGCTTAAGGTCTCATTGGTAGTTGTACAATGGCCATCTTTTCGGCTTAAAATTCACCTTTTTGGCTTATAATGGAAATAATACGGAAGTAAATAATTACCACTATGATCTTTAAAATCTAACCTTAATTGTCATGACTGGTAACATGTCAGGGGTTCTTACTCGAAAGTGAAAGCTACTTTTGTGTCTTAATGGGCGGATGGACCCGCATTAAGATTGGATAACATACATAAGATGGTTATGGTGCACATAAAAACGCATACACTATTATTTATTAATATTATTTCATTTAAAGATAATTTATAATATTTAACAAATTTGCAGCCAGATGTATATTGCCAAGTCTTTGCGGTGCTCTTGTTGATATTTATTGCAATGTAATAGAAAAGTACACAGATTATAGACTTGTTTATGATTGAATTAAGTGTCGCTATCGATATAAAATTGTTGAGGATGATATAAACACAAATATATGTCCATTTCGTATAAAGATGGTAGTAAGAAGGTCTATTTCACAGACACTTGGGGTGTGGAGCTTAAAACGTCTTTAAAATCCAAATAAAATATATATTTGTCAATCCCAGCACATGTACTGATCATATATTTCAAAAAAACTTAATATAAGCCGTTTTGAAAAAATTCATATTTCAACGTCTAAAATAATACACAAGATAAAAAAGTTCGCCGCAAAAAATCCGCACACCTACCGTCAATATCACCATGTATTTTATTCCATTTCCAATATTTTCACATAATCCTTTGGTCAATCGACACAGAAGATATAATTCTTCACGATAATGGTCAATTTTAAACAACAACGGTAATATAAACAACGCAACAGCCGAAATAAACATCAAGATTATCGCCGTTTTACTCCATTAACAAAATTGTTCGATAAATTCAAACGTGGCCCCAGCTTTGCCGTGTGCAAAATGCGCTGCGCTTTGAAGATGGGAACCAGTCGGCTATGAACGAAGCCATCCGGTTATATGTTGGTTCCCAAACTTAAAAGCGGAGCCTATTTATACACGACAAAGCTGCATTGAAACCGAGGGGCGTGGGATCAAACCCCAGAAGGTTTTTTTATACCTTTTTTTATTATTATTCATGTTTCTTTCATATCTACGGTGGTACAAAGGTGACATGTGTGTGTTTAATTTGCGCACGAAATATTCAAAACATCTATTCCAAGCCATCTCACACATCTGCAATAAATTTAAAAATGCTACTATTTGGATTGCGGGTGACTTCAATCTACCAGATATTAATTGGTCAAACAACTCAATCAATGGACACCAATACACAAAAGCAATAAATGAACAATTTCTTCTCCTAGAACCTGAACTAGGCCTCACACAAATTGTTGACTTCCCTACAGAAGCGACAATATACTTGACGTTTTCCTCACCAATCGACCACAACTTGTCAACCGCTGTACAGCAACTCCAGGAATAAGCGACCACCACGCCATATTTGTTGACACCAACATGTGTGCCACACGTCTTAAACCGACAAAGCGTACCCTGTACATGTGGGAGGAGGCCAACATCAAAACTATTAAAGAAAAAAGCAAAGCCTTATCAGATACCTTACTAGGGAAAATCAACCCCTCTTCAGACATTAACTACATCTGGACTATTTTCAAAAATGGCTGCCAAAAGATCATTGAAGATGAAGTCCAACATCGCAAAAGTGCTTAAAGATTTAATCAGCCATGAATCAACCAGGATATAAGGCGAATTACCAGACTGAAACGAAGGTGGTTCCGGCGTGCCAAGAACTCAAACTCCACTTCTGACTGGTCAAAATATATACTAGTAGATATTAAAAGGAAAGCCCAGCGCCTATGCAGATCTGTCCTTGATGCCGACATATCAGACATGCTCCAGCCAGACCATCAAAACCCAAAATTCTTCTGGTACTACATCAAATCCAAGAAGAAAGACAACTTTTGTGTGTCTCCACACAAGAAGGACGGGTTGGCATGCAGCGATGATAAACAGAAAGCTGAACTTCTAAACGACCAGTTCACCTCTGTCTTCACCAAAGAGGACATGGCTCAACGCCCTACTCCTCCTCCAAGTTGCTTACCAACTCTAAACTCTATACATGTCACGATTTAGGGCGCCCAGAAGCTTCTGTCGAATCTTAAGCCACACAGGCTTTAGACCCAGACAAGATACCCACTAGGCTCCTCAAACTTGCATCAGAAGAGTTGCCTCCAGGCCTAGCAAAGCTATTCCAACTGTCTCTGGATCAAGGTCAGATCCCACTTGACTGGAAAACTGTCTCACCTGTCTTTAAAAAGGGAAATCGTTCCTCACCATCCAACTACAGACCCATCCCTCTAACATCAGTCTCCTGCAAAATACTGGAACACATCATCTTTAGCAACATCATGTCTCACCTTGACTCACACAACATCCTCTCTGACTACCAACATCGGTTCAGAAAAAAAACGCTCCTGCGACACTCAACTACTAATGACCATCAATGACTTAGCCAAAGGAATAGATAACAACCATCAAATTGACGCTGTTCTGCTTGACTTCTCAAAAGCATTTGATAAAGTTCCACACTCACGTCTCCTGGACCATTATGGAATAAGAGGCACAACCCACCCCTGGATTTAAAACTTTCTCTCGTCGCGCACACAACAGATTGTCCTTGAGGGCTCCTTTTCAGCTACCTCACCTGTCACCTCTGGTGTCCCTCAGGGCATCGTCCTTGGCCCTCTACTTTTCTTGGCCTACATCAATGATTTACCATCTAAAGTCCAATCCACGGCTCGACTCTTCGCCGATGATTGCCTCCTGTATAGAATCATCCGTAGCCCTGAGGACTCAGGCCAACTTCAACATGACCTTGACAGTCTCAAATCCTGGGAGTATGATTGGCAGATGGCTTTTAATCACGACAAATGTGAAGTCATCCACATCTCCACAAAAAGAAAACCTATTACCAACACCTAGCATCCACGGAAAAGAACTCAAAACTGCAGAACATGCCAAATATCTTGGAGTCACCATCTCTTCAGACCTCTCTTGGAAAAAACATATCGATAACATCACCAAAAAGGCTAACTCCACCATGTCATTCATCAGGCAAAACATACGATCTAGCCCTCCAAGCGCCAAGTCTAATGCCTTCAAGACATATATCAGACCTACTGTTGAATTCGCCTCATCTGTCTGGTCCCCTCACTCTGAGGCTCTCATCAACCAACTAGAAATGGTCCAACGTCGCGCTGTAAAATTCGTGAAACAAGACTTCACGCGAACAAGCAGCGTCACCGACATGCTTACCGACCACATATGGGATACCCTCCAACACCGGCGCAACAACACCAGAACAATCATCTTTTTCAAGATAATGAACAACCTTGTGGATATTATACCAGATCCTCCACTTATCAATGCTAAGACTGTCAGAGGGCACAACCAAAGCTTCCGCCAAATCAGAGCACGCACCTCCATCTTCCAAAATAGTTTCTTTCCCGCAACCATCGTGCTTTGGAACAAGCTGCCGCAAGACGTTGTTGACCAGACCAGCCTGGATGCTTTCCAATCAGCTCTGGCCAGCCAACATATAAAATACTAGACATGGAGTTTTTACTCTTTTAATAGAACTGTAAATAGGGGAACGTTTTATTTTTATTTTGGAAACCTGCTGCGTATGTATATACAGTTTTTATCCGATTGCGAGTATACACCTTTCGGAGTGATGCAATTACTTGAGATGATGATGATGAAATACTATGTCGTGGCCACGAGTTACTACGTTTTGGCCACGAGTTACTAAGTCATGGGCACGAGATACTATGTCGTGGCCACGAGATAATTAAGTCGTGGACACGAGATACAATGTCGTGACCATGCGTAACTAAGTCTTGGCCACGAGATATTTACGTCGTGGGAACGAGATACTATGTCGTGGCCAATAAAACAATAATTTTGCTCGTGTGACTAGTTATGTGAATGTTATTTTATATTTCTTAACAATGATTAATAGTAAAAAATGTTTCATAATGATAGATTGTTTACAGTTTCCTTAGTTCTCAAAAAGAACCTTTCTAACAGCAAAGTTTTAATTCAGAAAAATGCCGATAACTCATAAACCATACGGTAAATTTTGTTTAAATTGTGTATACAAGCGTCTTTTAAGGCATATAACTGTCCTATGGTGTCAATTTTACATTTCCCTATAGTGTCCATTAGGGGTGTTCTCTCTTAAAGATATACTATGCTCAAATTTGATTTTTATAAATATTAATAATTGCTATACAGTCTCTTTGAGTGCATAAAATTAACATGTTTTGACTTCATTCAAAGTAGATATGTTATGTTTTGAACTCTACACAGTATAGGTGGTCACGATACGAATAAATAGTGTCATTAAAAAAACTGGCAGTTTTTTTTTAAGAAAAAGCCAACTTTACTTGACCCATAATAGGGAATGCAGCTTTCCATACATAGTCTATTCATTATTTTATTCAAATTAAACATATTCAGTAAGGATTTCATGGACTTCAATACATTTCTAAGAAAGTACCCAAAGATGAGCATAGTATATCTTTAAATAAATTTTGAATAAAAAATATTTAATTTTATTTAAAAAATGGGAGTGGTCATGTACATGTATAGTATCCAAGCCACGCACCGACTGCCTGTGGGTAGGTATTGTTAATAGCTTAATTAGGAGCTGATCAGATTGTTTTTTTTTCTAGGTTCATTTGTTGCGTGTTTTATTTGCTTTGCATGGGCTATAATTCTTGATATAGCTAAGTTTTTTGTCGGTAAGTATGGTTTTCAAATATTATTCAAACACAAGAGTTCGTACATGTTAAAAATGATTGATTCTCTTTTTTTTTAAAAAGAAAAGAAAAAAAGCTGCAACAGTAATCAAAGGTATTCAAAACATGGTGACATAGAATGCGTGTGTTTGCAAACAATACCAAAAAGAAAAAAAAATGCAAAAAGCAGAAATATTTTCTTATAAAATCCAAAACTGTACATGTGCAGTGGGAGTAGCATCCGTCAGGACTTTACTTTCTTCATGTTGGTTATCTAAATGTAAGCTATATATCCCTTTTATTTTTTCTGCAAAGAAAGTTTCCAATAGATTGTAATCGTTATTGTTGAATATTTCTTTTTTTATAACAATCTAACAACATATTTGACAGCATATTTTCTAACAAATGTATACCAAAGTGTTATTTATGAGACGATTTTTACCATACTTTTTTACTTTTCACTTTAAAATATTGCACAAAAAAAAACAAGTTAAGTACGTATGATTTCATAGTAATGTAGAAAAACTATTTGATAAGGCGTTTGTGTATATTCATATTTTTATTTTATATATACAAATATAATTATGTGCTTGGCATTTAAATCTTCTTTTTTCAATAATTACAACACATTTTTTTCTTTTTCACAGCTGGTCCATATATTCATGATGATAATGCTGAAACTATATGCAGAGATTCTACTAATATCCCAACTTACCTTTTTGTGAGCTCCAAACTTCCATGGGCGTTGAAAAAATTGAATGATTATTGCGAAGGCAATGGGCAAGTGGTGTTTGTGTGCTGTGCCTCTGCATACGTCTTCTTTTACTTTATTTGGCTCATTCTCGGTAAATATACCAGTTATTGTATCTCAATACAGGCACAAATAGATTTCATTGCCGTTGATTTGCTCATGTAAGGAGACAGTCTTAAAAATTGGGGAATAGAAATTTCAGCGAAAAATGAGAATGTAAAAATTTATTGTGATGATTGTAATTAATTGCCAACAAACGTTCTAAATCACTGTATAATAATCAAGTAAACTTGTGTTACACAAACATTTTTCACGAAAATCATACAACCAAACCAGCTTAAAACAAACGTGTATTCATTATAAACAAACCATACTGATTTGCGCATTTCACTCAAACTTTAAAATATTTTGACATGCGCATCACCTTATACCCTACCTCAAATGTCAAATTCACACTTGGAGGTCAAAGCCTAGAATAGTCTGTTACAGGGTATGAGAATGGCATTGGTTGATGATTGATGACTGGACACGAAATATACCCTGTGACAGACCATATCCTGTATTGATTTTGTATTTGTCACATTTTGTTGCTTTGAAATAGTGATAACAAGTATAGAAATGTATTTCTGTTGACACATACACAGGAGTTATTTCATTATATTTCTTTAATGAATTTATTGTTACTTGCAATTGCAGATCTAGCATTGATCAAAATTTTGCACTGAAAGTCCAGATACATACCTCAATCTTCTGAAATAGCACAATGTTGTGCTTCATGTAAAACTTTCCTTAGGCGGGGAACGTTGGTAACTCTTGTTACAAATTCTTGTATAAATTTGAAACCGCAAGCTTGATGCACAGGATTATTTAGAATATCATCAATTAAACTCAGCTATCCCAAAAAGCCTTAAAGAAAACACTTCAATGCATTTTCTCTATGGGAACAAAGGTGATGTTCTAATAGAAAAACTGAAAAAGAAAACAAAGTCACCAAATCAGTTGTTGTATAAACTTTAAATGAATGCAAAAACTGTTGAAAAACCAACTGCATCCATCAAATTGGAGTACGTTTTAATGACAAGAAAACAGATATTTAAAATGAAATATAGCATAAATATACCAACTTTTGAAATATTTATGCCATTTATCTCTTAAATGATTAGAATTGAGAAAAAGAAATATCGTTTTTACAAGACAATCTACCAATTTTTGAAGAAAAAATTCAAAATTCAATGAAACTTTTTACAGACCCCAAAAACCATACAATTTAGACTTATAAATATGCATATACACACACAAAAGGAAACGATCTTCAATTCTTATTCCCTCTTATCCATTCTTTCTATTTCTATTATTTTTAAAAATATTTTTTACTAAGTAAATGTCACTATAAATGTAATCGTTTCTACTATTGTTTAATATAGACATAACTGACCTTAATCTTTTCTATCCTTTTGCATTTTCATTCTTCTCTCATTCCTCATTTATCTTTTCTTTTCTCATACACTATTTTCTCCCTCTTTCATACTAATTATGCACTTTATTGTACTATTAGCACATCTTAGCACTCATTTTCTTCTTAAGATCTTAAGATACAAATGTGCTTGTCATAATTTTTACATTGATCTGAAATTATCCTTTTATGAATTAAGTTACTATGGTTTCTATGTTTGTATACGATGACTGAAAAATAAAGTACAATAAGAAAGAAGCTAAAGGCTGATGGCAACTAGCACTAAGCCATGAGTGTAAAGTGTGAGGCTAAAGTAAACACATGTGGATCCCTGACGGAGTTAGAAACCAGTCTGACGCATTCACCACCACCACCAACAACAACAACAACTTTTATTAGCAAATATCGACATAAGCTTGCCTTTGGCCAATGAACAGAAAAATACTTCATATATTGATCATATATTGATCAAATATACCAAAATATAAATTAATTTTACATGAAACTATATTTATCAACAAATATACATATATATTCATAGTGATCAGAAAAAGTGTACATTTATAAGACATCATTTCTAACAGTATATGCTTCTTTACATTATTTCAATATAGTTTTCTTTTTGTTTGAACCCATCACACGGTTGAATGAATTAAGATTTGGCCATGAAATATGTGGCATGTATTTGGAACGAGTATTTGAATATTTTTGACAGTTCATTAAAAAGTGGTACTCTGTCTCAAGTACATTACAATTGCAATATCGACAAATTCTATCTACTCTATCATATACCTCCCAGTTTCGATAGCCAAAATGACATGCCGTTTGTTGAATTGCAATAAAGTGATAACATTTTTATTATTAAAATGTGCGTGTGTACTTGTATAACCTTTTCAGGTGGCGCCTGGATCTACCCATACGTTAAACCAGTAATTGTCGAAGGACATGATCAAAACTGCGATGCAAGTTTTCTGATGTTTGCCGTCTTTGCAGTAACAAGTGATATTGTGCTAACTATAATTTTAATATGTTTTCTCATAGCCTACGCAAATGCAAAGTGATACTTTTCTGTGTTTGCCTGCTAGACTTTTCTTCAGATACACATACATAACGTATATGTCCTTATGTTTATACTTCAAAAGAAAATGAATATTGTTTAAAAAATGTAATTTATATTACGATATACACTTCCTATATATCCCAGAAAATTACTGTCTATGCAATAATGCCATATGTATGTTGTGAAAAGGCTTACTGTTTTTTTATCAAATTGGATTTAGATTTCAGTTGTCTTATTTGATTTGTATTTTTTTTTAATTTTAATAGTTTTAACGTTACTCTTTATTTTATTTTCAAGTCTTAGATTTTTCTTCATGTACATTTTTTTTATTTGATCGACTGAGTTTTAGACTTTTAGATTAATCATGGTATATTTTATATTTTGTAAATGTATACATAAATGTGTGTTATTATTTTTATTACTTTTTTTGTTTTAAAGTCATTGTAAATGTATATAATTCCATTGTAAAGCGCCTTTGAACATTTTATTTTTTGAGAAGGGCGCTATAGAAATGTGGTAATTATTTATTATTATTATTTATTATTAAAGACTTATCAATAAAAACATTATGTACAAATATGTACCATTATTATCATTACATTGTATTATTTTTATTATTATTATTATCCAATTTACAAATCTGAAGTCAAAAGCGAATATTTAATATGATATACAGTTATATAATGATCCAAAAAAAGTTAGCAATATACTTTTCTATTTGACAACAGTATCAATTACATTGACAAAATGAACTTGCCAACCATGACTTCTATACATGTATGAATTATGAAATAAAGAAAATCCCGCTCTATTAATTGTGTCATTTAGTCATTTTAACTTTTCATATGACTCATAGGCGCATCATTCTTGCTTTTAATAATTACCTGCCCTTGATTGTAGACAAGTATTTCAAGCATGAAGTAAATATCTGTGATTGTTTTTGAAAAAGTTAGGAAAATATGTTATGTCAAACGAAGGAGTTGATGTAGCAGAAATGACAAGTATTCTTAATAAAAATAAAGATTATCTATATAATATCTATTGATACACTTACGAAATGGTTTCAACAAGTAACTCGTAAAAGTCATGAATGGGGCATAACTTAACAAAATTGAATTACATTGTAAGCTAATTCCTATTTTGATATGTTCAATGTGTTTATTGCGCCAATTCAAGAAGATGGTCTTTTAGGTCTTGATTTTCTACAAGAAAATAATTTTGTGTTAAGTGCAGAAAATGGTTTGCGTCTAAATGGAATGAAGTATCCTACGTTGATGGAATCTTCAGTTTTTGATAGCGAAAATAATTAAAGTTTCTCTACAGTAAAGAAACTAATGTATTGTTCATATTTATGGACTCTTTAAAACTTGTCAAACATTAGTGTTTAGTCTCTTATATTCAGAGCTACAAATGTCTTATCAATGTCTTCACTTTTAAGGTAAGGAGTGATTACGACAAAATAGAGAAAATCGGAATCCCTAAAGAACGTCCAAAACGACAAAATTTAAAATGTTGCGGGCTCGGTTTGATTGAGCCTGTTCATGGACCGTAATGGTAAGGGCAGGTTTCCATCCACGCCCACTAGCACCGGCTTAAGCGGAATTTAACATTTAAACACGAAAGTGGTGGAATTTTGAATTAAAAAAATCTGCAGCAGTGTCCATACAGTTATCATGTGACCTTCAATGTTACAAGTAATGCCATTCCATGACAAGCGGCATATGGTCACCATTAAAATAATGTGTGTGCCCTAAACGAGAAAACAATGGGCTGGACTAAACAAAATGGAAAAGGGGTTATGGAGCCTGTTTATCACAGATAAGGTATCAAAAAGACAAATTTTAAAAGCAGGCAGCATATCTTAAGGGTGATTCAACATTATTCAAGTAAGAATGCTGGAACCACTAAAGTTGAAAAAGGGTCGAAATATAATGAACTTAAAATACCACAAACATGTATACACTACAATAATATCGTGCTGAACGGTCTTAAAGGATAACAAATATAGCATCTTTGATCAAATGTACGGGGCGACAATCTGTGTTATATCTCAGAATGACTTTATCGACAAAAATAATATTTTTGACCTCTTATATCTCTTAAAACATAAAATAACGAATGGATGATCAGCTAAAGTGCTTTATTGCACCATTGGATGACTAACATTTTGTATTTGATACCTTATAGTTATCCTTAGAGTGTTGAATTATTTCTTTCAGGGTTGTAGTAGGGCTCCAGCCCAGTCCAGGGGCAGAGAGGGGTGGGGTGTCCAAACACTGATACTGCCACCTGTGATTTTCAGTATTTGTGCGTTCTTTAATTTTTAATTAGGGATTTGTATTTCTCTCTATTTTAATGATATTTATTGATTAAACTGAAAATCCGAACTGATGAACTAATGAACTTTATTCAAACTGGGATTTAAAGATGTATCGTAAGTCCCAGATTAAAATGAAATGTAAAAAAGGTCAACTACGGGGAGTAATGCTTACGAAGCACAGCCCCACAATATAAAAAAGCAATGTCATCAAGTTAGGCACCAAAGGGGACACGGGTAAAAAATGGGGCGAAGGAGGGACTATTTATTACATAAAAGAGGGTGGTCAGTTTAGGAATTATTAGAGGAATGGGTATGAAGTTAAATTAGAAATGGGTTTAGGGGCAAAAGTAGAAGGACGAAACAAAACAAGGTCATGTCATGTACGATTGCTTCGTATGCTCTTGCTTTGAAGGTTTCAGGATGATGGTCTACTTTTGATTTGGAGGCTGTTGTGTGGCTGGATGAAAGTTATGTCTAATCAAAACTAAAGGTTTGAATAACATTTTTTGTATGTTTTATGGAAAGATTTTATGGAGGCCTATTATCAAAACAAGCGGTCTGATGCATCAGTGACTTACATTTATTGTTTAAAGTGTTATGTGGCTTGATCGTATGTCTAGATAGTTAAGCATAATGCGACATTGTACACCATTAAACTTGCACACTTTTACAATATTCTTTAACCGCAATTGCGATTTTCCGAATTCAATAGCGGTTTGACAACTCTTTTTTGTGACCATGGAATAGATTATTTCTATGGAGATGTAATTGACCCTTGCTTGCGAGTGTCTTGCATCTTTGTCTTTCTTTAAGGCATTGAGTACTTTTGTTAGGATCACTGGGTTGTCATATTATATGCATATTGCTGTCAACGTGATCATTACGGTGATTCCCCCTTAGAATATTTGCCTTTTGACAAGTTCTGCGATATGCAGGATTCATATCTCAGAATTCCGTTATATTATATTTCGCTAATTGTTTCACTTTCAGTGCACGCAATGTATTTTAGTTGGGACCATGCGTCGTTTTTCATGAAATGACACTTAGGTGTCACACTGAAGGCTCTATTATAACCGCCGTATGAATTCATCTGGGAATGATTCAGAGTTCAACATTTTGCCATTTCATTTTAAATGTTGAATTCTATGTAAGCCGGAACTTGTACTTTACAGTACCGTCCATAAACAGACTCAATCAAACAGAGCCTGCAAGATTTTAAATTTTGGTCTCTAAGAATTCTATTTTCCTCTTTATTTTTCTTTACAACTGTTAGAATTTTGTTGGCGGGAATCCATTTTATTAACACTGTCTCGTATGATAGGAACATAAGGGGGCTTTTAAAAAAGATTTTGGGCACCATAAATCTGTTAAAACTCCAAGGCAACGCTTTTACTACTGATCGTTCCTAGGCAGTGCCATTGGTGTTCCTTAAGATGTATTTCTTGTAACTTGACGTAAGATATTTGTGGTAATGTTAGTAGTGTATTTTGTTATAAGTCGTCAGGTATGCCTATTGCTATATTGTTGTTTTTTGTGTGTGTTTTTTTTAAAACGTTTTTGACTCTTCCTCCCACCGCCTCCCGGATCGTCCAGTCTCTTTCACTACGTCGATTTGTCTGAGTCGGCCATTTTTATTTATTACATGTACTAGCTTTAATGTTGATTGATTTTCTCAGCTTGTTTATCAAATTTTTAAAATGATAATTCCCTGTACATGCTTCATACATTCATACATGTGCTCTCTTCTCTTTTAGTTCGGTGACATGCTGGGCTCCTGTGTTTTGTTTGGAGATGCGTTCAATGAATGATTATGTCACCTCTCTTTTTGATTTTTGTTTTCATATTTTTAAGGATATCTCTACATGGTCAGAATTTCCTGATGTGTGTGTGTTTGCGTGTGTGCGTGTGTGCGTGCGTGCGGGCTTTTATGATCTTTGTGTTTAATTGTTTTGTTTTATCAGATGCAGAAGTATGGCATTGCAAATTCAAATCGACATACCAAAAATTGAACAAAAAGATTTATTTTTAATATCAATTGTTTATTTTTTCGTTTTCAAATCTCGCCAACAACTTAATTACAGTCATTTCATAACTATGCTGAAGTTGTGGTCTTTTCTAATAGCTCCTGCCCAGTACAAGCTCCCATGTGCAGAGTTGAAAAACTCTCAAAATCGTTCCTTCCCTCACTGAAAGAAAAATTCAACATTTAAAAGTAGTAAAAAATATTTAAGAATTAAAACTTTATATCAATTTTAATTAAGTTGAAAATGACATTACAGAAGACCAAGATTATTGTCCTATACAGACAGTCAACGTCAGCAGGTGTAGAGATATCTAATTCAGAAACTAAAAAGACTCCTATACGTCTGCATGAAGGTCTTTGACAAATAAACATTACATTTATTCACGTAAAATGGTCTAAGGCAGCCCTTGCATGGTAACAAATTTATGCAGGTTTTATTGGAAGCGACCACCAACCAAAAATTATAAAACTTTAATGATGCGACACAGCTTTATTTATTATTTAATTAACGTAGATCTTAGTAAGTATTTAATATATTCCACTTCAAATTATTTAGATACACCCGTTTCGGCACATGTACATATTACCGATATATTCATATTTCGCATGCTTTCGGAATTTTATGTAAGCTTACATTATGATAAATTGTTGTCACGGTTTATATGCGAAATGATTACAAAAATTGTCATTTTACAAAGTATAGACAAAAATTTACAACGCCTTAATAAAATGAGTGTTTGTATGCGAATAAGTAAAACTCATGGCGGCCATCTTGGACGCCATCTTACTTTTTCCTTGAAAAACACATCGATTTTAGACAATCAACCATTAAGGCAGCACACCACACTAAATAAAGCCACAGCTTGGAATGGCCAGGGAGGATTTCATGGATATAGTGGCTTTTGTGGATTTAAATGACTGGTTGTCTTTAAAATGCATTTCAGCGTGAAATTTGTTTTTGTGACATGTAATATGATCATTGGCAAATTCGAAAACATGGTTAGAAATCACATGCTGATATTTATTGATGTCAAGGCCGCCATTGTTTGTAAACATTGCTTTTAAACAGCATGCTCGATGAAAACAAGTAATTTTACAGGGGCCGGGGTACACACTTTCAGCAATAGCAAAAATCAACAAGGCCAAGCACCTATTTCTTTGTGATAGTTTGCATGTATAGGGAGTTGCTAAAGCAGTGACAGAGTTTCTGTAGACCGTATATTTGCAGGGTTTTTTGCCGGAGGGACGAAAAATGTTGTTTTGGGTATCGGACCACTATAGATTTTTGGCTTTTACGGAATGAATTGGAATTTTTTAACTGCCTGACTGTTGCACTTGGGATGACTTCATTACAGATTTGCAATGGTTTATGTTCTTAACAAAATGTGTTTTCTTTTTCCCCGTTGTGTAGTTCACGGGGGAAAATCACGCCGTTCGTTACCCAAACAAACAAGATGGCGGATGCAGTAAAAAAGTAGGGTTTTCCCTTTTTTCTCTGAAATTCGTGATGTTCTAATGTTAAAGTACATATAACAACCTTCTCCACAATTTTCCTTGCACACAGGATTTTATTTCATGATGTTTCGTCCCGTACTTCATCTGAAATGCGCGTCACCAGATTCGAAGCGAGAGAATTTTCCACCGGTTTGATCGTGGTGACGTACGGCTTTTTCTCTAAAATTCACTGTTTCTTTTACATATATGTATATTAATTGAAACCACTGACTTAAAAAAGGTGTAATATGTCGTCATCTAAGCATTCATACCCATTCTGGCTAGAATAACCGCTGAAAATATTAATATCGGGGCATTTACAGGAAATGATAACGTATGGCGCACAAAATATAAATGATTACGTACGGCGCATTTTACTACTTGGTATTAAATTTAAATTTGTTCAGTCAGCTAATAATGAATTATTTTTATGTAGGAAATGATAGATATTTGAAAAAAAAATGTCTGTCAGGTCAGAAATAATTTATTGAACAATGCTGTACTAAATATCTTTCTATCTGGTGGCATAATAGATATCCGTTGTTAATATACCAATTAAAACACACGTGTATAGTTTGAGAATATTTTGCATAAAATGCAGAATGGAGAAAAAGCCTCTACTTTCAGGAAAAATTTGTGTAGTGTTGTCTTCACATTAAATTTCGCCATTTTTGTGCGATAATTATGGTTTTATCCCCTTATCAGAAAGAAGAAACGCATTCAGCAGAGCAAAAATATTAAAAAGGTACGAACGGCTTGATATATTTTCTTTTCCAAAGAAAAAGTCTAAAATCATTCCTTACAAATTTCTGATAAGGGAATTTTAATATTTGAAACTTGCGACTAGCTTACACCCAGACGAGATGAGCCTGTGTTTATTCAATCTGGTCGTTCATTGAAAGAAAATACATAAAAGAGAATAATGAATGAGTGTAGGTTCTATATTGAATTTATTGAATGAGTTAAAAAATGATGTTATGGGAAAAACTTCAATTAATTTAGTAAATCAGAAATTTTCTGTTTATTTGACGGGCGGTTAATATTGAAACGATACCATTTAGCGTGACGTTGTGCCACTATGACGTCAGATATATTTACGCTTATAGTAGACAGTAGCCAATAGGCTTTAAAGCCGATGAGGACATAAAACATGCACAATTACTAACAGTTCATAGAGACATAATATCAAAAATAATGAAAAAGTTTGGAGAAGATCAAATTTGATTGATAAAGTAAATACTAGTACCAGCCCAAATTTTCTAAGTAGTTTCATAATGAACATTTTCATATAACAATTGATCTTTAAACCACTAACTTATAGGTCTCTTGTATATACATATACATACACACATATACATACATACAAAAGAAACATACACTACACGAACCATTAATGCAAAATTGTTGTATATTTATCGATTTTTAATACATAAACGCGATTACTATATGTTTATACACAAATCCTAAAATAATGAAGGTCCCTTCGCATCAATTGCTGATTTCATAATTGTAAATGAAAGGAACGTCATAATTTTATCAAAACAATTACATGCAAGAATTTGCCTATCATATTCTGGCGTTTTTTTCCCACAAACGCCCCAACAAAAACAATAATTTCTTAAAAAAATATTGCAGGTATCAGCAATAAAAGAGTGACATTGGATATTGCTTATTAATTTCTAGTGTTAAAAAGTTTTCGAATCGAATTTGGATTCCATGCCGGAAAAACCGTCTGAAAGCTTTCATGCCAGACCGCTTATGCGCTTAGATGACGTCATTATCTTTATGAAAGAACGGTTTTAAAAAATTATAACTCTACTCTTAAACTAGTGTTTACGAAGTATATGTTAGTGTTCATCCGTGTTGTTCTACAGAAATTAGAAACGTCGACGGGAGCGATAGCGACCGGGGAATATTACTTATTTCTGAAGAACAGCTTCGGATGAATACAAACATACTTAGTGTCAAGCGTTATTTGACTTCATTAATATTTACTTTATTTCGTCTATTTTCACGAACGCGTTTCTATGAAGCACTATGAAAAATAAAAGGCTGCTATGAATGGACTTTGATATATCATCGACCTTTGTTCTTCTATGAAAATTTACACAAAGAATTTTTAAGAAATACAGCGCTTTCATTGGATGACAAATAAAGCTGGACACTAATATAATTTAGTTCAGTTTCTTAATTTGGTTTTACACATCCACTTATGTCTTGTAAACATAACTTTTCTATCACATAGAAAATCAATTAATCAGAAAACAAATGCGCCGTACGTTATCATTGATATTTTGTGCGCCATACCTTATCATTTCCGGAAAATGCCCCGATATTAATATTTTCAGCGGTTATTCTAGCCAGAATGGACATGAATGCTTAGATGACGACATATTACACCTTTTTTCAGTCAGTGGTTTCAGTTAATATACATATATGTGAAAGAAACAGTGAATTTTCGAGAAAAAGCCGTACGTTACCGCGATCAAACCGGTGGAAAATTATCTCGCTTCGAATCTAATGACGCGCATTTCAGATGAAGTACGGGACGAAACATCATGAAATAAAATCCTGTGTGCAAGGAAAATTGTGGAGAAGGTTGTTATATGTACTTTTACATTAGAACATTACGAATTTCAGAGAAAAAAGGGAAAAACCTACTTTTTGACTGCATCCGTCATCTTGTTTGTTTGGGTAACGAACGGCGTGATTCTCCCCCGTGTAGTTTGGGATCAGATTTATCAGACATATTGCTTGTAGGACATTGACGGCAGAAACTTGAAATTTAGTGTGGAGTGCTACCTAAACTCTTGCAATTCAGATAATAGTAACCAAAGATTTGCTTAATACATGGAACATAGGAACCATTGATACACTATTGTTAATACACAAAAACAGTTTTATAGTGCATTTAATTAAAGTATAAAATGTGTGCTAAAGTGACTTACTTGCACCATTGTGATTTCAGGAAACATTCGTTGCTGTTGTATGTCTTACCATCAGACCCACAAAACTCAATGATGTACATCGGACAAAAACTGTTACATCCATTCAGAGACCGCTTCTCCGGGAAACAGCTCACACCTTAAAGAAACCACGCACAAAAAAACTGCTATGAAATGACATAAAATACTCAAAGAGACAAAATGTATAAATAGAGCATAAATAAAGATCTTTGAAAAGCGTCCGCAAATAATATTTATCATTTGAAAGTAGAAAAATAACATGTTAATTATTATTATGCCATTTTTTCAATAATATTTTTAACTATAAAAAAATGGATTGCAAGTATAGGCTACAACAAAACAAAATTGAATTGAAAGCAATGAGTAGAAACATGAAGAAATTTGTAAAGAAAATGTAGGAGTATAATTATATATAATTTTATATGTTTTCTCACCTATGATAAGAATAGCGAGTAATATGACGACCTTCATGATGTCCTGTCTTAATTAAAATGGACAAATATAGTCAGTAAAAAGTTGAAATGGTTCAAATGTTCGTGATAAGAGCCGTTAATCTTGAGTTCAAAATTCTGTTATTACGCACTTTTTGTTCGAGGACAAATTTTAGACATATGAGCCGCGTCACGACAAAACCAACATAATGGGTTTGCGACCAGCATGCATCCAGACCAGCCTGCGCATCCGCGCAGTCTGATCAGGATCCATGCTGTTCGCTATCAGTTTCTCTACTTGTAATAGAGTTGGTAAGCGAACAGCATGGATCCTGATCAGACTGCGCGGATGCGCAGGCTGGTCTGGATCCATGCTGGTCGCAAACCCATTATGTTGGTTTTGTCGTGACGCGGCTCAATTATCATTCCATATGTCCCAGGAAGATAGTGTTTGCAAATTTTGTTTAAGTTTATGACCCATCACCAACAGATACTAAAAACAAATGTAAGAGGAAAATAAAACGGAAAGAACTTCGTTCTGAATAAGCCTATCCTACCGGGTTACTAATGCACGTAATTCTCGTGCCAAAATGTTTGCGTATTTTGCGTTTGCGTATTTTGCGCAAGGGACATTGTCATTAAGGCCTACTTTAAAAATTGATAGAGCTCCATGTATAACTTTAGTGATCATATGTGCTCTTAAGTATTACGAAAATGTACGTTCATAAACTTTATTCAGCGTACGCAACTTTATGTAAAAATCGATAGCAGTCGCTGACCGTTCGTATACCTCTTGGCTATAATAGAACATTCCTAAATAAATTGACATATTACTTACGCTGGCTATCTTTCCCACTTTGTTGATTGAGAACCTTTATATAAGTGTTAAACGATTACTTCGCTTGACTTTATTTTAATTTATACCATGCTATTTAAATTCTAAACTTGATTTTACCTAGATTGAAATAGACTCATCCAAATTTAGGTCAAAATCTGCTATTGGGTTAAGTAAATACTGCTGTCAAAATGTCTGCAGAATTTGAAAGTGTGGAGAAATCACTCAAAAAGCATTTACCACCATCTGAATTCGCTGAAGTTAGACGAATATTGTATGGAAAGGAAGTCAGGTATATTTTGCATGTGTTGTCATTGTTTAGATTTGTTTTATTTTGCAGAAATCTAGTGGTCGACGCATTTCCTGTTTACTCGTGCAGTTACTTTCAGTTTCGTTGTGACAATAGCTAAAATTTAATGCACAGAAATATTATAAAAGACTATAGTACCTTTAATAAGACGTCATTCAAACTTCATTGATATCTGGATAGCCAGAACAGCACAAGTTACTGTAGCCAAAACTTCACTTAATTAATGGGCTTCATGTATGTTACGTATGTACTGTACATGTCAACAGGTCAAGTGGTTTTCATGTTCATTGGATGTTACTTGTAGGCCTTTAAATCAATCCAATTTATATTAAGGCACATTTTCTGTTAGAAAATGCATGCTATACAATACAGTGCTGCAGTAAATTTGCAATTATACAGATTTTTGGTTATCTTCTTCCATATTTTCAAAATTACAGTACATAAATTACATAACTCTTCAGATATTTAGATTGATGTTAGGTGTTGAAGATTTGTTATAAAAAAATATTTTTGAATTTTAAAAAATAGTTTACATTAAAATGAAAACAACAGCAATAAAATGGTATCAATTTGATAGCAGACTATTTGGGTTGTTGTTGTTTTTTCATGTGTTTTATATACATGTAGTTTCAATCACATTTGCTCAAATATGTTCTATCATTGCTTTTTGTTCTTTGATAATCATGAAAGTTGTTTATTATAGCACAACAATAAGATACTTCTATATTTAATATGGTTAAATAATTATCAGTTTTTAAAATATTCTGCTTTAAGTTAAGAGATACATTTGTTTGGGTCATATTTATGAAAGAGAAAAAAATAATAACAAGGAAAAATGAAAAAAGGAAGGATCAAACCAAGGTCACAGATTGATTGAGTGCACCAAATGTTGCAGACTTACACACATTTAATTGAGGGATTAAGTGTAAGGGGGAGATGCATGTATTTCTTTGTTTAGTTAGTCTGCTTGTCTGAAAGCTAGAGCAGTGAAATGAAAACATTATTTACAATATAGTACATGTATTGACATTAAGCTGATAACTCTATCAGACTATTGCAATACTGCCCTAGCTATTTCTTTTAAGTTTAATGAGTTACAATAGATAAACCATTGAAATATCCTGCTGGTATCTTGGTTTGTAAAATGCCATTAACATTGGAAGTAGGTGAGATAACATTTTGAAATGCAGGAGCATGATTAATCATTTCATTGACCTACAATCTGAAATGTTTAAGTTGGTATACTGTGAGGCAGTATAACACTGTATAGAGGAAAAATGGCACATTGTAGTCACCAAATAAATAATTAAACAACAAAAGTTTAAAAAAAAATTGCTGCTTTTTTTCACTTTCACTAACTCAGTTATAATGTATAATGATCTTTCTTTAATTAACGAAGAAATTAGTTTTTATTTTATTGAAGAAAGCAACAATGTTTATATAAGCATCATCATCAGTATACTTTTGAATCATTACTTGAAACTGCTCTTGAAAAAAAAAATAACATGTAGTGCATGTCATATAAAAAAAGAGCCCATACATGCAATGCTGACGTTTGACATTCCCTATCAAAATAATTAATTAAGTAGCTGAAGGTGAAATGAATATGACACTGAATTTTGCAAGTACATGTGTATGTGCATTACAATATATGCAATCCAATATTGGACTGTATATATAGTCTATAGTGTGTATTCAGTGCAATATGCAGTTATCATACATTGTTGAGTACAATATACTGAATTCCATGGAAGGAGTACACAGCTGTCAAAACTGTAATGAAAGAGGTACTAGCTTAGTCTAATATAGGTTTTGAAGCTGTGTACTGTCCAATAGCATCAGTATTGTATTATGACTTCTTTATTTCACACAACCATTTCTTAGTTCAAGTACAATAAGGATTTTTATATTGATTTTTGGACTTTGAAAATGAAATTTAGGCTATATGGGGTATGATATGCATTTGATTGATATAGATTGTTCTGACTCTTATGATTTCTTTTTGATCATTACATGGTGCAAACACTGAAAGTTCATTGGTTTTATAAGGTGTGAAATAAAGTGTGTATAGTGTTCGTGTATGGTGTATATAATGTGTTATGTATTGTGTGGGTTTTTTGTGCCTTAATCAGTGACGTAGCTACTATTAGGTCATGTAGGCAGTTAGTTAAGAAATTGACATTTTCAAAAGTCCCAAAAATAGACAATAAAAACAGGCGGGTTGGGGTTGGTAGTGGGTTCAAGTCGTATGGTCGAATCATGTGTGTTTTAGGCTTATGCATGATTTATCGTGACCTCAGTAAAGTTTGCAATCATAAGTTTAAAATTATTGTTTTGATAATAAGATTTCCTTGAAAAAACTTTGGAACAGGCATTTGGCTCTTTGTAATCAAAACTTATTTTTGGCTTCTAGGGGCGAACCCCCCAGACCTCTTTTATGGGCCTACAAGTTTAATAAAACTGGCTACGCCCCTGTTAATTTAATTATTACCAGGCGGATGGACCTTCATTAAACATAGACTACATACATGGACATGAAGATTGCTGAATTTTGGCATTTTGATGTAAGATTAAAATCCTGCATAAATAACATTGATGGAAAATTCAAATTCACAGTAGGACTTGAATCCTTATTGGGGATTGAGGTTAAAAAGTGATGCTTGATATTCATTTATATAGAATATCTGATGAAGTTAAGAATATAACAGTAATATTTATTTGTTCTGTTAGAAGGTAAAACAAGGCTTTAAGAAAATTAAGTAATTATGTCTCCAAATAAAGATTATATATTTTTTCACACACATAAAAATGTTTCAGTTATATAAAAGTCACAGTTACATGTATATGAAATATAGCTTAAAAGAAATAAAAATCACTCATTCTATACTTCTATATTTAAAGTCAAATTGCTATAGTAAAGTCATCCACATAGACAAAAATTCAGTTGGAAACAGCAATTTCTATCATATGACTATCATATAATTTACATGTATTTATGTTTTATGAATAATTATGGAAACAGATTTATTTGTAAACTTCTTAAAAACCATAGCCAATAAATAACATTAAGATTTGTGAACAAAATTTTCAGAACTCTGAATCTCCCGGAGGATGCATTGTCAGCAGCTGGTGAGCAGGACTTTGAGATCCAAGGTTTTGGATTTGATGCTCAGCGAGAGGAAGTGCGGTCTCAGAGAATTGTTCGTGTTGGGGCAATACAGAACAAGATCATAATACCAACAACTGCGCCAGTCCTGGAGCAGGTATGACTTGACATTGCTATATTTTGTAGTGTTTAATATATCTTCTCATCAAACTTTACTAGATTAACCTGTTGTAGTGTCATGGGCAATAATGACTTGTCTATGACAAGATTAGTCTGTACATTCATACAGACTTACAAAATAACAAGATCTCTATACTGTTTTCTGCTCTTAGACTTCTATGTTATTATCTCTTAGACTACTGTTTTATTATTATGCATTCACCTAGGGTGGGATGGTGTGATATAGATTAGCCCTTGTCAATGACCCTGTCTGTCTGTACAAAAAAGTGGGACTTTGGGCATCAGTGTCGTATGGAAATGGTTCTAAATGCAGTTTAGATACTGTAATCCCTTAAAGTACTACCAGACTGCTCCAAAGTCAAGGCATAAGTTGATTTACACAGAATCAGCTGAATCAACAGAATCAGAACTTGGCCAATTTGTTATATATTATAACTGTGATATTTTAATTGATATAATTATTATGGCTGATGAATTCTGGTGTTTGAGATATTTTGAATTATGCATGTTACTCTTAAATGATATCAAGCTGAAGGTTGTTGGAGGCCATTATCTATTTAGCAGGCTGACTTTGATCCTACTTTTTGTGTATTTATCTCTGGTAATGTTTCTTATTGTGTCTTAATTGCAGGTAGAATCTCTTCACAAAAGAATCTCAGATATTATAGCTGTGGCTGCGAAATGTGGGGTTAATATTTTATGTCTGCAAGAAGCTTGGAGTAAGTTTGCTAACAAATATCTAACATAATTTCGTAATATATCCATATGAAAGTATAACAAATCAACATAAACTTTTTCCTGTTATTAAACAGCTGACAAAATTGACATCCAAATACATGTATACATTGGTTTCTTTACAAATGATGGTCAAAATGAAATGCATGTACACTCAACAGCAAAATTTTTATTCATTTAGCTTGGGCTACATGCTGATGGTTTCATTATTACCTTAGCTGAACTTGGCCCGTATTTTTTTATAGCTGATGAAGAAAATTTTAAACTGATGTTTTATCATGATTGTCATAGGTTTTTTTTCTACTATTCTTTTTTTATATTTTAGCTATGCCATTTGCATTTTGTACAAGGGAGAAACATCCATGGTGCCAGTTCGCAGAGTCAGCTGAGGACGGTCCAACTACAAAAATGCTACAAGAGGTTGGTTGGTTTTTTTATATTTCATTTTTTTGCATTTGTCATTTTACATTATACTGTAATTAAGTGGGTGAAGGAAAGTGTTATGAAGACAGTCTGTGCTACAAGGCCCTGGTGCAAGCTCTTAAACATTTTATGGGAAATTTGGCAAAGTTTTATTTTAGTTTACAAAATGTAAGATTTTCTTTTTTATAACATGATATTATATCATCTTAAATGGTCTAAATATGAAAGTCAGACATATAAATTTTACATGTATCAGCTATGTTTAAATTTGCAGAAGTAAATTTCATTATCATAGTATTTCGTTTCTGTTGAATTTACAAAACAAAATAATTAGTACATTTTTGACACAGAATTGATAATTAAATCTTGTTAACCAATTAGTTTAATGTAATAATTCTATTTTGGCAGCTTGCAAAGAAATACAACATGGTGATCATTTCACCAATTCTTGAGAGAGATGATAACCATGGTGAAGTGTTATGGAATACAGCAGGTATAGATGGTCTTTACTTTTTTAGTGATCATTACAAAAACATTTTGTGCAACGTAAAATTCTTTTTAAACACCCTTTCTTTAAGACTATATGTTGCCATAAATATTTATTTCTCATTTACCAGAAATCTGTGTAAAAAAATTCTAAAAATTTTATTAGGTATAGGTTTATATCAGACCACTATGTATAGCTACTCTCTGAAGAAAGGGAGGTAATACCTTAGCAACTATTTATGAGAACATTTGGGGATTACCACCCCTTGTCAAGATAGAATTGAAATAAATTAAACTTATTTTGTGTAGCAAAATTTGCTGTTCTATGAATATTATGAAACTGTTAAAATTCATAAGGGCTCAACAAACCAGTCTGTCTGGATGGGATTGCCAGTTTCTCTATCAAAAAATTATAGATTTTATCAATGACCCACCAAATGTCAGAGAAAATATGTGCAAGTACCATGAGATCAATTAAATCTCATATTCAAACTATTTCAAGTGAACTGGAAAATACATAAATTGTGAAATATTATAAGACTCTTCAGAGGAGATCAGTTGTTAGTATGCACAATTTATGATCATTGATATACAAGGTTTGTTTGCAATTGAAAATCAGAGTTTCCTGTCGCCCATTTTGATGATTGTAAAAGAAATGAGTATCAATGAAGTAGTTTGCTAAATTTAACAAAATGGAATAAGTTTTACTGTGTTTTAAGAAAGACATAACCTAACTGTCATAGAACATTATTAGAATTTATCCAGTTATCATAAACTTACATGTATATTACAGTGGTCATATCAAACACTGGAGCTGTGCTCGGGAAGTCAAGAAAAAACCACATTCCAAGAGTAGGAGATTTTAATGAGGTATGTGTTGAATTTTGTTCTATTTTAATTTTCTTTCTGTAAAGTCAAATTACGTATGACCTCCTAGAATGAATGATTAAAGATAATGATAAAGAAACATGACTTAAATTTAACAGTGTACATTAGAATTTTCTGTAAAAATTGTATCAATACTTTTAAATGCTTCTGACGTTTACCTTACCTTTAGCTAAGTGGTAGTTCAATAAAGGAAAAAAAACATTCACCAGGGTTACCCAGTTGGGGCCTCAAAAAAATTAAAAAGGTAATCACCAGTAACAGGGTGAATAAACAAGGTTACCCAGTTGGGGCCTCCAAAAAAAAATTCACCTGTTACAGTGTGAATAAACAGGGTTACCCAGTTGGTGCCTCAAAATTTAAAAAAAGAAGATATCCACCAGTTTCCAATAGTTTTATTTTCATGTTTTCAGTCAACATACTACATAGAAGGCAACACAGGACACAAAGTTTTTCAGACACAATTTGGTAAGATATTTCAGGGTGTGCGTTATTTATTATTTTCTATTTTTAAGCCTGTCAGCTCTTGTGCTTTAATTCAACTATTTCATAAAGTAAAAATAAAGAAATATTTTCTGTTTCACTGAAAACACTTAATTGTTATATAATTTCTGTTTGGCTAAAAACACTTAATTGTGATATACCAAAATGTGATATACCAAATTGAATATAATTACTGTGTAAAACATACTGCTTTGCTCAATATTTAAAGCATATGATTAGTTATCTTGGGGTCACTTGTTCAGTCCTTGGGCATGGCATAATTTCTCTATGACAAATGATCTCGGACATCTAGTCTAATGTTCAGTTGTCACTCACTGCTGATTCAGAAATCATTACGGAGTTGCAGTCACTCACTTACGAAGAAATTGGTTCAACTGTTACGGTCTGTCACAATATGATCAAAAACATCTGTTAAAATTGATGTTTGAGAATTTTGTAAATGTACTTGTTTGAAAATTGTGTGAATGTACTTGCTTGAAAATTGTGTAAATGTACTTGCTTGAAAATTGTGTAGAATTGTGTACTTGCTTGAAAATTATGTAAATGTACTTGCTTGAAAATTGTGTAAATGTACTGGAATAAATCATACCAGCTTCAGTTAGTTTTTATTGTAGGTTGTTGTATATTTTTGTTTACAATACATATGCATAATTATATGAAAAAGTTTTATGGTTTTTTTTTAATGATTTATTTTCAGGTAAGATAGCTATTAATATCTGTTATGGTCGTCATCATCCACCTAACTGGTTAATGTATGGAGTAAATGGTGCTGAAATTGTCTTTAATCCATCAGCTACAGTTGGTGCTCTCAGGTGTGACTCAATAACATATTTACTAAATCATGTGACAATGATTGCACCTACTTAGTTCAATAACGAGAGCATTGAATTTGTAATTCAATGGTCATTGGTTGGATCCTTTGGCAAGGCCACATTTCTCTATTGATCCCAGACATTGAGTCTAATGGCCACTTGTCTCTTACCACTGATTCAGAAATCATGTAGTATTAGAAATTGGTAATTACTGCTAAGTTATCCAGGGAAGCCAGATAGGTAGAGTGACTGCTGAGATATGACAAAAAAATGTGAAGAATTGATTTAAATTCCAAAACCAATAAGTCAACTTTTTGTGTGCTCTTACCCAATGGTATAATGGTAAATTTATAAATATATCAAATCTAACATTTATTTGTAAAGTATAATTTCCATCAAAAATCTTGTATTAAAACCGAACCAAAATGAATGTTTGGCTTTTTGTATATTTTGGGGATGTTGCAGGGGCTACTAATATTACTCCATCCCAGAAGAAACAACTTTTTTTATTAGTATTCAGTTTGAAAAGTAACTAGCTTGGTCTCTCTTGAGAAAGACTTGTTAGTAATTTTAGTGGAAGGGTATAAAATTATCATAATTCTAATAATGGTACATATTTCTCTAGCCCGTGAACTGATAATAGAAAAGTCTAAAATCGAAAGAGGGCAAGTCCATGTTTATAGAATCATTGAAATCATTGAGAAAAAAGGATTGAAGGACCATTTCAATTTCAATTTCAGTGAACCAATGTGGCCTATAGAAGCCAGGAATGCTGCCATTGCTAACAGTTACTTTACTTGTGCTATAAATAGAGTTGGAACGGTGTGTATTGCTATTTTATTTCCATTCTAAAATAACTATATTTTACATAAAATCAACAGTAACATTATTAAGAAAGTAAAATTATGTTGACAGCCATGTGTAAATTGATATAAACAAAATTTTATACAATTTTTAAAGAGAGAAGTTTTAATTGTTCGTTTTTGTTTTCCAATTTATGTCAAACCATATGTCCGCTTTTTAACCAGGTTTTCAATTTTGAAAATCCTGGTTATTAGATTGGGGTATGGCGGGCGGATGGGCGGATGGGCGGATGGGCGGCTGGGCGGATGGCGGGCGGCGTCAAACGAAATTGTGTCCGCTCTGTAACTCTTCAACCCTTTGAAGAATTTTGATGAAACTTCAGACAAATGTTTACCACATCAAGATGACGTGCAGAACGCATGTTCCGCATGGCTGGCTCCAAGGTCAAGGTCACAGTGACATTAACATTGAAAATCCTGTCCGCTCTGTAACTCTTCAACCCTTTGAAGAATTTTGATGAAACTTCAGACAAATGTTTACCACATCAAGATGACGTGCAGAACGCATGTTCCGCATGGCTGGCTCCAAGGTCAAGGTCACAGTGACATTAACATTGAAAATCCTGTCCGCTCTGTAACTCTTCAACCCTTTGAAGAATTTTGATGAAACTTCAGACAAATGTTTACCACATCAAGATGACGTGCAGAACGCATGTTCCGCATGGCTGGCTCCAAGGTCAAGGTCACAGTGACATTAACATTGAAAATCCTGTCCGCTCTGTAACTCTTCAACCCTTTGAAGAATTTTTGATGAAACTTCAGACAAATGTTTACCACATCAAGATGACGTGCAGAACGCATGTTCCGCATGGCTGGCTCCAAGGTCAAGGTCACAGTGACATTAACATTGAAAATCCTGTTTACATGATTTTAACTTGATTTGGCAGTCAAAGGTCATATCATCTTTGGAGGTAATTTAAAAAAGATATGATATATTATTTCATGTCTACTTTGTAACTTGAAAATTTTAAAAAATTTGAACTTTTCACAGAACCTTGGTCACCAGGTGCCCTGCGGCATATTGTCGGGGTTTTGCGATTGGATAATATTTGACCTAATTATTGCCCTTTGTTTTTTTTCCTTATATAGAATATATAGTGAACAATTTCTTCTGTGCTGAACTCCCTCTACAATTCTCAACGGATTTTGTTCAAACTTTCACAGAAGCTTTGTCATCATGTGCCCTGGCGCATATTGTCAGGGTTTTGTGATTGGATAATATTTGATCTAATTATGGCCCTTTGTTTTTTTTCCTTATACAGAATATATAGTGAACAAATTCTTCTGTGCTGAACTTGTCCTACATTTCTCAACGGATTTTGTTCAAACTTTCACAGAAGCTTTGTCACCAAGCACCCTGGCACATATTGTCGGGGTTTTTGATTGGATAATTTTTGACCTAATTATGGCCCTTTGTTTTTTTTCCTTATACAGAATATATAGTGAACACTTCTTCAGTGGCAATTCCTCCTACATTATTCATGTTTTACATTGCACATAGTTACATAGTTACATTGTTTGTTGCTTGTATTTGTATTTCAAATACAACATATTTATCTGCAATGGTGATAATTGAAAACCTGGTTTCATGGCATTGCCATGTTTCTTGTCTTTGGTTGGAGGGGTGGGGGAGTGGGCTGGACATACACTTAAAGTGACGCCAGTGGACTGCTTCCTTGGTCTCACGACCAATTAGGACACCTTTGTAGAATTTGGAAAATAAAAGTGAATTTCACATCTACCACTAGTAGGATTTGAACCCACGACCCCTGGATTAGGAGTCCTATGCTCTAACCTTACACCACTCTTCCTCCCCTTGTTGCCATGGCAATATATAAATTATGTAACTTTGCCCTGAACCATGCAAATTAGAACCAAAAATTTAACTTGTTATCATGGATATTTTAATTATTAAACATTTAGAAATGAACAGCGGTTTTTCATTAGTAAAGGGAGACTATCCTTGATGTATTAAACATTTTGCTGACACAAGTTCTCTCTTACAAATTTTGCATCATGAAATTTGAAAATTAACATAACTTGAAGATATAAAATAACCTTTTAACGGCAAAGTAATAAAATAATTTCTATATTTTCATATTTTAGATAATCACTTCTTATTTTGTTCTTATTCTAACAGGAAGAGTTTCCCAATGAATTTTCTTCTGCTGATGGAAAACCAGGTAAGGGGAAGAACTCCGCTATGATTTGTAACATAGAAATTTTATAGCTCAAACTTGAGTTATGGTTGTCATTTTAAATGAAGATTTATTATCATTTCTTTATTGTAATTCACAGATTTAAAGAAATAATGACAATTGTCCATATTACCCAGGTTGTTTTAAAGCTTGTACGGATAAAGATAGAAATTTTAAAGAATTAACTTTATAAATATCATACAGATATGTTAAGAAATGCTTCAGATACAGTGGACAAGTTAGACAAAGTGTGATTTTACCAGTCCTATTTACTATTATAATTTTTCTCCTGATTTAATTGAAAGGATGAAGCTAGGTATTTGTTGAGATAAATACAGCTCCTCGTTTATATTTGTTTTCAGTTATCATTTTTTTTGTATCAAATTACTGGTTTCATCAAGAGATAATTATATAATGTTTTTCATTTACAGCTCATAAGGACTTTGGACATTTTTATGGTAAGCATTAACACATTTAACAATATGATATTAATTGTCTTTATATATTTGAAGAAAAAAACTTGTGACTTACAATTGTCATTTTATACACTGTCATTTTGGTCTTTGAATGCTTGCAGCAACAATAACTTGTCTATGCCATACAAGTATAGACCCAGGCCAGTCTGCTTATTCAGTTCAACCTGCCTGTTAAGGGCATCTTGCTCATTCAGGTCAAAATGCTCATTCAGACAATCTTACTAAGACCAGCCTACTCATTCGGGCAATCTTACTAAGACCAGCCTACTCATTCAGGCAATCTTACTAAGACCAGCCTACTCATTCAGGCTATCTTGCTCACTCAGACAAGTCTACTCATTCAGGCTATCTTGCTCACTCAGACCAGTCTACTCATTCAGGCTATCTTGCTCATTCAGACCAGTCTACTCATTCAGGCTAACTTGCTCATTCAGACCAGTCTACTCATTCAGGCTATCTTGCTCACTCAGACCAGTCTACTCATTCAGGCTATCTTGCTCATTCAGACCAGTCTACTCATTCAGGCTATCTTGCTCACTCAGACCAGTCTACTCATTCAGGCTAACTTGCTCACTCAGACCAGTCTACTCATTCAGGCTATCTTGCTCATTCAGACCAGTCTACTCATTCAGGCTATCTTGCTCACTCAGACCAGTCTACTCATTCAGGCTATCTTGCTCATTCAGACCAGTCTCCTCATTCAGGCTGCCTTGCTCACTCAGACCAGTCTACTCATTCAGGCTATCTTGCTCTTTTAGACCAGTCTACTCATTCAGGCTATCTAGCTCATTCAGACCAGTCTACTCATTCAGGCTTTCTTGCTCATTCAGACCAGTCTACTCATTCAGGCTATCTTGCTCATTAAGACCAGTCTACTCATTCAGGCTAACTTGCTCACTCAGACCAGTCTACTCATTCAGGCTATCTTGCTCATTCAGACCAGTACTCATTCAGGCTAACTTGCTTCATTCAGACCAGTATACTCATTCAGGCTATCTTGCTCATTCAGACCAGTCTACTCATTCAGGCTATCTTGCTCACTCAGACCAGTCTACTCATTCAGGCTAACTTGCTCACTCAGACCAGTTTACTCATTCAGACTATCTTGCTCATTCAGACCAGTCTACTCATTCAGGCTATCTTGCTCACTCAGACCAGTCTACTCATTCAGGCTATCTTGCTCATTCAGACCAGTCTACTCATTCAGGCTAACTTGCTCACTCAGACCAGTCTACTCATTCAGGCTATCTTGCTCATTCAGACCAGTCTACTCATTCAGGCTAACTTGCTCATTCAGACCAGTCTACTCATTCAGGCTATCTTGCTCATTCAGACCAGCCTACTCATTCAGGCTATCTTGCTCATTCAGGCAATCTTGCTCACTTATGCCAGCCTGCTTGTTTAGGCAATCTTGCTTGATCAGACACGCTTGCACATTCAGACCATCTTTCTCATTCAGGCCAGCCTGCACATTCAGACTTGCTTGCCCACTCAGGTCAGCCTGCACATTCAGGCTCTATATAGCTAGCTGTTCAAGTTTCAATTGTTTTTAAAATCAAAAACGTGTAAAATGACAATTCTGTTTCAAAGAAACACATGTACATTTCATCTATTTAGGGAGGTAAGGGCCAAGAATATTTTGTCATTCAATTTTGAATTTTAAAAAAAATGGCTTTTGTCATATTGTTTTATATCATGTAAAAGCTTTTTATTACAAAGAAATTGCTACCAAACATGTGTTTGTGTAAGTTGTAAGTTAACCGTTACATGTTTTTCAGGGTCAAGTTATGTAGCAGCACCTGATGGTAGTAGAACACCTGTAAGTTTTTTTTTAATAGGTCATTTATAAGAGACTTACAGTGCTCAAATTTACAAGAACATTACAGTTCAACCTGTACTAAGAGTCACCTCTTTTGAGGGGTCATCTGTCCGTAATGGCCATTTTGTGACATCCCCAAGGAAAATCACTCTATACATCTGTTCAGCGGTCACCTGCTGTGGTCAACAGTTACCTAAAATGCTTCCCAAATCTTAAATTTATACCAAATGTAAACAAGATTGTTTAACTTTATACATGTATGGTTCTAACAAGTGTTATAAGATTGTGATCCTTGCAGATAACTGCAGCCTTGACCATAATGTGACATTGCTTATTGTCCATCTCCTGTATGGGAGGTCACCGTTGTCATAGTTCAGTTTATGACAAAAATGATACTACAGTAAAACCCCAACTAAGAGACCATTAATTTTGTGGTTATGAATTAAAATGGTCCTAGTATTGAAGTGGTCTTAGTTTTGGATTGTCTTTTCGACTAAAAGTAATGTTAAATAAACACTCATTCATGGAAAGGCAGAATAAAGTTACAACAAATCAGGATAGTTTTCAGGTGATTGATTTAAGAAATCATGTATGTCAGATCACTCAACTTCTGTCTTATGAGTTCTGTCTTATGAGTGGATTGAAGAAAATGAAAACATCTTCTGATTTATAAACAGTTCAAATAGCTCAGCTATACCAAGAATAGAGAAAGCAAATGAAATAACCCTGGTGGCATACAAGTTGATATCTCTAAAAGTACTGAAGGGAATGGCTTGAAACTTAAAACACTTATTTGAGAGCCCAACAGGAGGTCATTGCCCAATGCCCATATCTCTAACATAGCTTTTAACAGGTAAATGACACTTTTTGAAAATAGAAAATTCTGAATTATCCAGGATTTTGTTTTTATAATACTATCAAGCACCACACCGTCATATGGACAGTCCTTGTTTACACCACCAGTCACAAGGTTTAAATACAGTGTAACTTCTGAAAACTGAACACATGTGGGACTAGCCAAAAAGTTCGGAATTTGGAAGTTTAAAAAAAAAGGACAATGATTCTCTACCGACAGCCCTAAATACACAACATATCACAATGAAATTCAAGTTAATACATCTAATTTCTTCATAAAAATAAGAAATTTGAAGGATCAATGAAATCTTCATTTTACTACAATTTAGTAATTGGTTTAAAGTAGCAAAAAAATGCTTCCAGATTCATGCTAATTTTCCTGAAAATTTGGAAAATGTATTTAAAAATATTCTATATCACAAATATATACTCTACACATGACCGCATACCACGAACATAATTATATTCTACACATTGGTTACCACAATATTATGTATTTCTATACCTCAAATATTTACATTATACATTTATGCCACAAACAATTAAACCCTACATATGTACATGTATACCACATACAGGTATATTATGTATTTCAATACCTTAAATTTATACTCTATACATGTATACCACAGACATATACTGGAAGCATTTGCCTTGTGGTGAAGGCGTCCGTTTTCGGATCGGGAGGTCGAAGGTTCGAGCCCCACGCAGAGCGTTAATTGATGGATGAATGTTTCTTGTGGGACTCGATCCAAAATGGCCGCTTCGTGAGCCGCGAGGTAGTTAAAATGAATGGTTACTAATTTCTATCCGCCTGGCGCCTGGCATAGTGGTAGTTGGGATGTACATGGTATGCAAGCAAAGGGTGTCTCAAAAGTCAGAAATGGCTGGCCCTTTCAGTAGGGGTGCCACTATAATAAACAAGACCTTTACCTATACAAGACTGTATACAATGCCTTACCAGTTCTTAGGAAGCAAGAGTTAAGATGATGTACTGCATGAGGTCGTGAATGTGGGATAAAGACGTTAAGATTTTAAGTTGTGATCAGCTGGCGCCTGGCATAGTAGTAGGAGTTGGGAGGTGCATGGTATGCAAGCAAAGGGTGTCTCATAAGTCAGAAATGGCTGGCTCTTTTAGTAGGGGTGACACTTCAATAAACAAGACCTTTACCTTTACCTTTCATATTCTACACATGGTTACCCTAAGTATGTATTTTTATACCACAAATATATACATTGTACAATTGTGTGCCACAAACAACTATACTCTATACATGTATACCACATATATCTATTTCAATACCATCAATATAAATTATACTCTTAACATGAATAACACAAATATATTTTTCTATACAATAAAATGTATGCTCTATACACATAATAGTATATTATACTATACTAAAAGTATATATTTCTATACCATGAATTTTATTATACCCTATACATGTCAATATAATTGCTTTATACCACAGATAGATACTCTACAACAATAATATATATTCTAATAATACCACAAAATTCTCCCCTTTACCCTTTACTACAAAAATATTCTCTATATCACAAATGTATTATATATGTAATACTCTTCGTCCCTGATATAATCATAAACTGTACCTACATGATTGTATAATATCATATATTTTTACTATACTTATATGGCAAATATTTACTGATTATTAACTGTATAGGTCATATGAACTTTGTTCTACATATGTCAAATATGGCCTGCACATGATCTACTTATTCTGGCCTAATCCAATAATGTGGAGTAAAAATGAATTCTTCCAGTTTTGATCTAGATTATTTCTTTGGACTTGACCATTATTTGTATTGGGTAAACAACCAAAAGGGCAAAAGTTCAAATACTTTGTACAAGTAGTATGTGCATCTCAGTTGAACAAACAAGGTCATTTGCCTGTGTTACTATTTGTGTAATGTGAAATTGAATCAACCAACACATCTTTTCATTTAGGAGATAATTTCTCAAGTGATTGCTTGCTAGGAAACCTTTACAACTTTGTAAATTGAAGAAAGAAATCTGTAAATGAAAGATGTTCTGAGAATTTCACAATATATAGACATGATAAAGTTACTTTGTCAGTGTTTACTGCTAGATAACCCTGTTTTACCTGGCAAATGTTGATGGAAATAATGTGATGCTGGACACTAGAACTTTTTAAATAATAGGGTCTCTGTTTTATTCTATCTTTTACTTTTACCTATCCTGGTTTCAAGTCATTGAAACTTAACCATTACACAAACTTAAAAATAATAAAAAAGAAGTGCTATATTTTAGTATTATGAGAGATAATGTTATGAGATATTAATGAGAAGTGCTGTATTGTAGAGTTGTAAGAGATTTGTGTACAGTGTTATGAGAGATTTATGAGGAGTGCTGTATTGTAGAGTTGTAAGAGATTTGTGTACAGTGTTATGAGAGATTTATGAGGAGTGTTGAAGTGTAGTGTTGTGAGAGATTTATGAGGGGTGCTGAAGTGCAGTGTTATGAGAGATTTATGAGGAGTGCTGTAGTGCAGTGTTATGAGAGATTTATGAGGAGTGTTGAAGTGCAGTGTTATGAGAGATTTATGAGGAGTGCTGTAGTGCAGTGTTATGAGAGATTTATGAGGAGTGTTTAAGTGCAGTGTTATGAGAGATTTATGAGGAGTGTTGACGTGCAGTGTTGTGAGAGATTTATGAGGAGTGCTGTATTGCAGTGTTATGAGAGATTTATGAGGAGTGCTGTATTGTTGTGTTATGAGAGATTTATGAGGAGTGCTGTATTGTAGAGTTATAAGAGATTTATGAGGGATGCTGTAGTGCAGTGTTATGAGAGATTTATGAGGAGTGTTGAAGTGCAGTGTTGTGAGAGATTTATGAGGAGTGCTGTATTGCAGTGTTATGAGAGATTTATGAGGGGTGCTGTATTGTAGTGTTATGAGAGATTTATGAGGGGTGCTGTATTGCAGTGTTATGAGAGATTTATGAGGAGTGTTGTAGTGAAGATTTATGAGGAGTGTTATATTGCAGTGTTATGAGAGATTTATGAGGAGTGTTGTAGTGTAGTGTTTTGAGAGATTTATGAGGGGTACTGTATTGTAGTGTTGTGAGAGATTTATGAGGGATGATGTAGTGCAGTGTTGTGAGAGATTTATGAGGAGTGATGTATTGTAGTGTTATGAGAGATTTATGAAGAGTGATGTTTTATAATGTTATGAGAAATTTATGAGGGGTGCTGTATTGTAGTGTTATGAGATATTTATGAGGAGTGTTGTAGTGCAGATTTATGAGGAGTGTTCTATTGCAGTGTTATGAAAGATTTATGAGGAGGGTTGTTTTGTAGTGTTTTGAGAGATTTATGGGGGGTGCTATATTGTAGTTTTATGAAGGGTGCTGTATTTTGTAGTGTTAGGAGTGATTAATGAGGAGTGCTATATTGAAGTGTTGTAAGGGATTTATCACCATCTGGATATTTCCACCAATGTATTGAGTTTAGCAGTGGAATTCTTCAGTTTAACTTTTATTTGTTCATATGTTTTAGTTACTGTTACTAGTCTGCCATTATGATTATCTCTAGCTTGCCATTAATACTGTTACCAGCCTGCCATTATCACTGTTGCCAGCCTGCCATTATGGCTGTTTCTAGCTTTTCTTATTATTACTGTTGCTAGCTTTGTTATTATAACTGTTGCTAGCCTGCCATTATCACTGTTGCTTTATCACTGTTGCTGGCTTGCAATTATCACTGTTGCCTTTTTCCCTGTTGCTGGCTTGCCATTATCTTGATGCTTTGTCACTGTTGTTAGCTTGCCATTAACACTGTTGCTTTATTACTGTTGCTAGCTTGTCAATATCACTGTTGCTAGCCTGCCAATATCACTGTTGCTAACCTGCCAATATCACTGTTGCTAGCCTGCCATTATCACTGTTGCCAGTCTGCCATTATCACTGTTGCTAGCCTGCCATTATCACTGTTGCCATTCTACCATTATCACTGTTGCTAGCTTGCCATTATCACTGTTGCTTTATCACTGTTGCTAGCTTGTTATTATCACTGTTGCTAGCTGACCTGCAGTTGTCAGTATAAATTGCTTTTAATTCCGTTTTCATTGATTCTAGCCAGTCATTGACTACATTGCTAA